AAACAATGACAATATGCAAACAAAATGGGAGCGGGCAGGGTACATTTATAGTTCCTTATAAGTGGATGAAACATGGTGGATGAAGCACTTTTGGTACTTTTTCCACTGCTGGAAACACTTCTTTAAATAATTTTTCTGTACATTTTGCATGCTGTGCCAAAAAAAGTTGATGACAAAAAAAGTGCTTATAATTTAAAGAATATAGAGCAAGATGTTGAAGTAAATGCCTTACAGACGTATAGATTATGATCACCAAGAGTAATAATTGTTCTTTTCCAATTGTATAAGCACACACCAATGACATAAGTAAACAAAACAGTGACAATATGCAAACAAAATGGGAGCGGGCAGGGTACATTTATAGTTCCTTATAAGTGGATGAAACATGGTGGATGAAGCACTTTTGGTACTTTTTCCACTGCTGGAAACACTTCTTTAAATAATTTTTCTGTACATTTTGCATGCTGTGCCATCATTTCAGGTACTAAATTTTTTTCAATGATTTCTCAGTTTAGTCTTTCAGTCTTGCTATTATATATAACATGTTTTCTGCAGGCTTTAGACTCATTTGTTTCTTTTTTCCCCCAGCTCTGTATAACCATGTGCAATTCATCCTTCCAAATCAACGATTCACTCTCTGTATTCGACAAGTCTGTAATATGGGTCTGTATTTGCAAGGGACACTTTGGCAGCCTTGCCATTTTTGTTACTTTAGTACTGTTCTCCATTGTGGGACCGCCAGTCCATAGCTGGACCCTCTGGGTGTTTCTTCATGGGAGTATCAAACCCAACTTGGTCTTTCCATTGAATATCAATATAGTGGAGCTGTTTTTTTTGCATCCATAGCATTATAGACTCTTTTATTACCAACTAGCCCACTGTGACAGATGATCGTTTGGTTGTCTTTTTCATTGGTCTCAGCTGGACTGTCAGACCTCTTCTCCAGATCTGCATGTGCTTTGACCATTACCTGGCAGTGATTCATCCAGTAACATTCCTGAGATATAAGGGCATCCAGTACAGGATTGCATCGGCAGCAGCAGCTTGGTTAATAGGAGCGGCCAACAGCGTGAGGGTAACATTCCTGAGATATAAGGGCATCCAGTACAGGATTGTGTAGCGTCTGGACCAATCAGACACACCATTTTTCATTTGATTTAACAAATCAGTTATTCATTAGATTAGCAAACGTTCACAGACCCCTCACCCAATAAACATACTGGGTGCCAAGTGGTCTGTGAACAAGGCCCAGGACCCTGGTTACCATGGCAACCCTGACACCAGTGATTCATCCAGTAACATTCCTGAGATATAAGGGCATCCAGTACAGGATTGCATCGGCAGCAGCAGCTTGGTTAATAGGAGCGGCCAACAGCGTGAGGCTCATTTTCATCGGAATAGAATATTTTCCCGATCGTGTATTCTTTTTGTTTTTTTGCATTGCAGTTACAATAATCTTGTTTTGCTGTGCTTCAGTCCTTTATGCTCTGAAGCGTCCAGGACCAGGTGAACAAACAAATGTAGAGATGACAAGAAAAGACAGACACAACAAAACTGACAGAGGCAGAGTTGGGAACCAGCAGAAAAGGAAGGCCTTCAAAATCATCTCTCACAATTTATCATCTATCCTGATTTGTTATTTCCCTCAAGTAGTAGCTTATTTTATGCGCATAGCTAAAATGAGTAAGCATATATACATTTGCAAAGCATTTCCATTGATTCTGTCATTTAGTTTGACTGCTGTATTAATTTCTTCACTAGTCAGGATGTATAGTGAAGGCCAAATAAAACAAATGATGTGCTTTTCAAAGCTTAGAGAACAAATAAAAGGACAATAAGAAAACTAAAATATGTATTTATTGAAGCTTTAATGTTTATTTCATTTTTGATTTCTAAAAAACAAAGAGGCATGACATTGGGATAGAACAGTATTTGAGAATGCAAATGTCTGCACATACCTGCTGGCTGTTAGAGAGTATCAAAATGTATACTGATCAGTTTGCAATTGCAATTCAAGACCAAAAACAAAGCTTTCTCCTTAATTAATTAATAAAGAAAAAGCATAGGAGTTTTTTTTTGGACAACACAATGTTGTCAGTATAATATTTGGCACAAAAGAATCTTTCACACAAACAATGGATTTACTTCTGATCATTACTGTAAAATGTATGTGTTGAAAACAATGATAAATAAAGAGTTTTTGAACAAGACAATTGTGAAGGTCATGATTTATGCTTTCTAATAACAACAAAAACAAGCTTAATCATGTCCATCAAAAGCATCAATATTTCAAATCCACTTTATTGGCAATGAGGTAATTATTGTGATATTTTCATTGATTACTTATTGCTGGTCTACCACAGTTAATAAGTAGTCACTGTTGTGACTAAAATGTGTATGTAAAATGTGTTAAAAGGATACATGTTTAAACAGCTTTCCGTTTATATTCCAGTACTCAGCAACAGTTTCTAATTTGGTATCTGCGTATTAATGGATACAGTCAATAAAACATTTTATAATGGTGTTGTAGTTTAGTGTGAAAGAAAACAAAACCTAGTTACCACAGTTACTAATTTATTCCCGAGAGGAGGAAGTGAAGAGAATTTATAGCAGAATTAGGTGTCTTATAAAGAAAGTCCAGCATATAGCATTGCAACACCAGCCTGAGGATCACACAGTGAGTATATCTGATTTGTGCATCAGGCTTCAGTTAATTATTATATATTGGTCTAATATAGTATTGCAGACATGTGTAATGTAGCAACCAAGAGGACAGATAAACTTAAGCAATTTTAAGCAATTATCACTGATCATTTCTGCTTATTGTACATTTGTTACATATTTCTGCAATTTGAAATGTTTTTAATGTTAACATATACAGCTAATTAAATGCTTTACTAAATAACCATGAAATTTGAAACTGCAAGCTGCATTTCACACAGGTAGGATTTAAACTGAAATCAGTTTCAGTAGGAAAGATACAGAAATGAACAGAGCAAACACAGTCGACCGTAGCAGCACATCTGTGGCTACATACAATCAAGAATTCACTGCCAGGATTCCAAAGTCTCAAATCAACCAGACTGAGCCTCAGGAATCAGGTAGGCTACACAATATAGTAAATTTAATGAATATGGTATTATAAATGTAGACTAGCCTATGTTTTCTTTTTCATTTAGGCTCATCAAAGTTCTACAAAGTGGTGATTGTGTGCCTGGCGTTGCTGTTCGGTATTCTGCTGGCTGGTCTCATAGCTCTGGCATTCAAGTACAGAACAGACACTGTCCAGTTAAAGACTGACTATGACCGGTGTATTGATGATCAGGAATATCTGAACAGACGTTACTACAATCTGACTATAGAGAGAGATCAGCTGCAGGCTAGTGAACAAATCCAAATTAAAAAAGTACAGAATTTAGAAAAGCTGCTACTAATTGGTAGGTATTTACTTGGTCATTTAACTGTAATCAAATTAAATTACATTTAAATATTGTAGTTTGTCTTACCTCAGCATTACGTATTTGTATATGCATAAAACTGCTTTGTGACACCATAATTTAACAAAGATATTTTCTTTTAAGGGTGCTTGACAGGAAGGAGCAACTTTTCCTCTCATCTTTATTGTGTCTCTGCTATGATGTTGACGTGGAATGAGAGCAGACACAGCTGTGGTGAGAATGGAGCTTATCTTGTGATCATAAATAGTCCAGAGGAACAGGTGAGTGAGAGTGCAAAATGAGGCCAACCTTTGTTTCACTAATCCAGAGTTGATTAAACCTGATAACTGTGTCTGTAAACATACGGTAGCTATAGCATTGGTTTCAAACTATTTTGGCCACCTGGGTGCTAACCTTTTCTTTACATATGGGCTGCAACAGGAATTCATGTCTAATTTCCAAATGAATGTATGGATTGGCCTCTCTGTTACTGAAGGAGTGTGGAAATGGGTGGACAACACTGAAGTAATCAAAGAGTGAGATCTGACTTACAGTATATTTGATTTTTCTTTTTTCAATCAAATATGTGGAAACCTAATGGTTACAATGTTTATAGAGATTTCTTCTAATTAAAACTGTTATGTTCAGGTACTGGGCAACAGGAGAACCTAATGATGTAAATGGAATGGAAGATTGTGTAGAGATTTTAACTGGCCGACCAAGCCAAGAAAACTGGAATGACTTTTCATGTGAAGAAAAAAAACATTACATTTGTGAATATGAATATTAAATTCATAGTTTTTAAGCCATGGAAACATTATAGAGTATGATTATTCTGATGCCTTTTCCCACTATTTGTGATAAATGTAATATATCTGCACGTCAAGAGAAATATTTTATACTATTATATGCTAAATTACTATGCCTCTTCTTAGTCTGACATAGTTAACTGAGACAACATTCAAAATCACATAGGCCTATCATTTATTTAAAATTATTTGAACATTTTTGAAAGTAATTTTTGTGTGATTTGCTTTTTATTAATGAATAAAGAAGTATTCACATGGAATTATAACATCACAAAATTACACATTAGAAATTACCTCTATATTATATTTGATTCCTGAATTTTGAAGCCTAATTCAGACTCGTTAGTCTGCTTTGTAGCTCTTCCTATGGACTGAATACAGTTTCAGAGATGGCGGACAATTACAAATATGTGTTCTACATCAGCCTATATGTTTTTATGCTTCACATTCAAACAATAATTAAAACAAATCTTTGTTTTTGCTTTTGAAACTTTTTCATAAAAAAAAAAAATAAAGACATAAAGGCACAACTAGTTGTATAAAGTTTGTTCATTCTCCAGAAACATAAATTTTGCATACAGCAGTGATCGAAGGCTATTCAGATCTAGTTATTAATCTGGCGTTAGTCTTGTATTGGAATCAAAATTCATGTCATTCAAACTCCCTACAGATATAGACATCGTCGTACATTTTATTATGACAAAGAGGACTTTAATTTTGACAGGAGTTTTATTAACCCGGAAATACAGCAGAACCCGTTGCTCCCCTAACCCTGCTTTAAGATGGCTTTCAGAACTGGACATGTTTTCAGATACCTTCTGAATATTTTGTTGGAATACCGGTCATAATCGGATGGTGTGTGGAAATTAGATCGGATTTAAGGGGGTTGTGGTGTCCGTTCTCGACGACACACATTCAGTTTCCCTTCGGCAGTCTGCACGGCGCTCGACACCACTGGCTGTAGTGTCGAGGTTGTAAATATTATCAGCTCTCCAGTCAGACTCCATCTAGACCAGTGCTTCTGATAAAAATGGCCACCATGGAGAAGCTGATGAAGGCGTTTGAGTCGCTCAAATCATTCCAGCAGCAGCAAGGCCCGCTGTCGGCCGAGGAGCTCGTCCAGAAACAGTGAGTGCTGAACTGATGCAGCCTCATCATCATCATCATCATCAGGGTGCTGGCATCACCTGACACAGTCGCTATAGTAATGTTATCATGACATACAGGAGGGCTGTGTGTTTTCTCGTATAAAGCTGGTTATTGTTGTTGTCTTGGGCTTAAAATCACATGACGCTCAACGCGTTAGAAGTGTCACACAGCCTCGTTTGATTCTGCGTCAGTGGCGAGATAAAACAGCGCGCACTCCTCTAGAAAACCTAGGAAAAAGCTGTTGCCTTTAAAGAAAGCCAGAAATAGCTACATAATTCTTGATTAATGAACCAACAAACATATTGGAAAATGTTTATGTGTAAATGCAGTGTTTTCTATGAATCTGTTCATCTCCTGATGTTTACATCCTCTTACAAAACGTGTTTTTCCTCGCCTGTTACTCAGCGTGACTCATACCATCAGATACAAAAAAAAAAATAAATGTGTCAGATATTTATTATCAGTGTTGGGAGTAACGCATTACAAAAGTAATAATATTACAGTACATTGACAAATTGGCTCAAGCCAGTTTTCAGCACCGTGTATTAAACTGTCATTACAGTCACACTAAAAATCTAGCAAATTTTGGTCTTTCACAGCCATTTAGGTTCTGGCGTACCTTTCTTATGAGTTGAATATAACGTTATTTTAATTCTTGTGAAGTGTTGAGTCTGGGTACAGTCAGTTTTGAAGTGCTGAGTGATAATGTGATATAATTCTGATAAAAGAGAAAATAAACATTTTAGTGATCATCACTTAGCCTATTAATTTCAATGTGGAAATTATTTTTTAATGTAACTTTAATTGGAAGAGCTTTTATCTCTATTTGATATAAACCGTATAACATAAATACACTGTAAATAAGTTACTGTAAATTAATACCTTACAAAGACATTGGATGGGAATTGTATGTAAATAAATGAAGGGATTTCCTCATTTAAAGGGGTCATATGATGTGATTTAAATTTGTCCTTTCTCTTTGAATTGTTACAAGCTCTTGGTGCATAAAGAAGATCTGTAAAGTTGCAAAGACTAAAGTCTCAAATCCAAAGAGATATTCTTTATAAACGTTAAGAGTCAGCCACGCCTACCTAAAACGGCTCGTTCTAACACGCCCCCACATGTCTACATCACTATGTTGAAATATTAGCATAACGCCACCCAAATGTTCACGCAAAGAAAGAAGGTGTAACTTTTATTCTCGCTGTAGTATTGTTGTTGCTTCCACCGCCATGTTGTGAAGGCGCTGTGTGTTTTGTTGTGAAATCGAAACTACTTTGTTTGGCCTTCCAAAAGAGGACGATATCCGCTTCGTCATTCCTAGAGCTGATCCGTGCTGGTCGCTGAGGGAATACATCAACTTAGTGCTGTGGATCGCCGGATCGGCTTTCACCGTGGACGAAGCGGAGTCCAGCCCGGGGTCATCACATGTGGTTGCCGCAAGCCCGCCGGACGCTCCTTTGTCGAATCCGCCGGCCGCGCCGTTCTCACGCCCGCCTACCTCCGCTCACTCAAGCCCGCCATGTGTTTCGTTGTGAAAGCGAAACTACTTTGTTTGGCCTTCCAAAAGAGGACACAACTAGAAATCAGTGGTTAAGTTGTATTTACAACACTGTTCCAGAACACTTCAACCCAAATAATCAGATGTGTGCAGCACATTTTATGGAGGACTGTTTCCTGATCCTGGTAGAATAGACTACAATGCCGGCTGTTCTGACTCACAGACTGTAAGTACGTTTTTTATATTTAAAGAATTTGCCACTGACGATTCAAACGCGAGTTTTGAGCAGTGTAGAGCAGCGCTTGTTGTTTGTCATTTCTCCGATCACAAATGCAGACATGGTTTTATGTTTACGAGGCGCGATGCAACGCGTAAAAAGACAGTATAAGTCATTATAATCAGTAATTATGTCCCCACTGGATGCAACAAATGCCTCGTTTGTAAAGGGTTTTATTGGTGTTGTCTCGTCGCGCCGGGACACGGCATCACAATATGGTAAGGGGAGTAACATTTCCGTCACAC